CCTCTGGTGTTAAATCATTATTTTATGGTACGCTCAAGGTCATACATAAGTGATGACACTGAGACTAAGTGAGAGATCAGAGCACTTAACAATGATCTATCTCTCAGTACATAAGAAAACAAAGAAAAGAGAAAATCTAAATTCAATCTTCAGAATACAGTATTGAATTCCAACTTGTTTTCAATTTGATATCGCAACGCATATCACAATCTTAAGTAAATTGGTTAGTAGTTCAACAGTTTCTATTAGTCTTGGATCATTGAAAACGTTTGGAGAGTGAATCGTCTTTTGAGGTCATTAGATTTTTTTCACTAAGTGCTGGCGAGAACAAAAATGTTTTGATTGATACAAGGAAAACTATCATGATCAAATATTTTGAAATGAAGTAAAAATTAGATTTAAGTTTTAAAATTAAAGATCCAAGGTTAGCTTGGAAATTTTAGGAAAGGTTTGATTTAAAAGTTCAAAAATTAGGCAATAATAATTTCTGATTTATTATGGTTGTATTCCAGTTGAAGAAACTAAGAAATATTAGCTATGAAAAGAAGAAAAACAAGTCCTTGAGAAGCGAGAAAGTTTTTATAAGTTTTAAAAAAAACTAACTTAGAATTAACGCATGAACATTTGTATAATTTTATCGTCGTTCTTTCGTTATAAAGTATGGTTTTACATTATTGAGAGAAGTATTTGGCTTGGAAATTAGTCTTACTGCTGCAAGTAAATTTTAATTCAAGTTAGGGAATAAAAATCTACTGCATTGAGATTTTTGCAGAGAATTAACTGTTGCGGTCTGCGTCGTTTCACGATACAGGGGTTTGTTCTGCTATTCGGGTTTTGGCCTGGTGTTTTGACCGTATCGTTTGGAGTAAGAGATTAGACATATTGAGACGTAGAGACATACTTATTATGTTTTCAATACTATCGAACACTTTGTGATGTGTTTTGATCTTAATTCTTCTTTGAACTTGCTAAATCTAATTTTATTGAGGTCTTGTTTGAGACTTTTGGTCGCACCAGATGAGTTTAAGTCCGGAGTGGCTCACTAATAGAGTATTTTCAAATAAGGTACACAGTCGGTTCGTCACGCTTTACTATTTTTTTACTCTTAAATCTCCTAGTCTCAATGGATCTAGTGTATACTGATATTTGCGATTTAAATATCAGGAACTGTTCTTAAGGAGAACGACTGTCTTTTAAATTATATTTCTTTTGCTTTGTTGCTGAAACTATGAGCAATTTCAGCGTTACAAATAATTGTAAGTGTTTGTTATGGATCATTATTGGTTAGTTAGAAACAGTTTATAGAGATAGTTTCATCAATAAGAAAATTGGAAATAAATACTAGTTTTAAACTGGTTCCAATTTCACCGCGGAAGCCCTTATGAACTAAATAAACTGATGAAGGGAATCCTACAACCCTATAAATGTGGAAGGAAACTCTCCTCAACTGACTGCTGCTGAATGGCGTAATCTGAAGTGGAGTTTAATCATTGAGCCGAAGTTTCTCGTTCATTTCTTAACTGAAATCCCGGAGAAAATGAGATAATTTCTTTAACTTTACTATTTCGAAGGTATGTTTGAATTTATGTTTTGGTTAAGAGATTTTTTTTTATCGAATTTTGGCTGGATTTCAATTAAGACTTTCTGTGCAAACCTTTGTTCCGACCGACTCGACTTAACGGTTCGATTTTGAACAGAGTCGGAACCGGGCCTGAATTTGAAATCCGGGTCCGGCACGGTTGGAAAACAAAAGTTTCAAGCTCGTTTTGGCTAGTTCTTCACAAAGAATTTTTAACTCTTTAAGAAAAAAACAAAGACAGCGAAGATTTTCTAAAAGATTTTAGACGATTTGTAAGGAAGATGTGCGATTTTACAATCAGGAGTTTCCAGGGTTTACATGATTTCACATTACGAGGCCAAAATGTACACTGGATAGGCGCACATTTTGTGTCTATAGGTTACTGGATTCCAAAGACAAGTTTTTAAACATGTTAACTTTTTGTCGGAAGGATCAAAGAGATTGAAAGAACAAAAGAAAGAACAAAAGGATCGTCCTTGTTGCGGAATCCGCTTACAATGCACAAAATGCCTCGTAATGCAATAACACTTTCGGCCTCCTTTTTGAAGATTAATCTAAAATCTTCTTAAATGAATGTAAATATCACGAATTTCGGAAAAATCAATGAAAATTTGCGCTTATCTATAACAATCATCAGAATGAAAATCAGAGTAAAAGGTTTCAAAATTTACTGATGATTAGCTTTCAAGCAATTTTAGGCATACAGATATAGATATAATACATGACGCTCCCTTTGTTCTTCTTTTGTTTTTTCTTGACCACGGAATGTTAATGAAAACACGAATTTCCTAACAACCCGGGTTGACCTTCAAAGACAAAAAATACTTCAAAGTATCCAGGCGTTATTTAAACATGTAACAACCTTTTTCAGATCTAAAATTTGGATATGAAAAGATTATTTCAGTTCTGTTTTAAAAATTTTGGGTACGATAATCCCTTGCGTAAATCTAGAAAAAAAAACGAGGTTTCATACTTCTTGCAAAAACTGTTACCACTGAGTTTTAGAAGAACTTTTTTTTTGTTTTGGCATAAAATTCGGCGTATCGTTCTAAAATAAAAAGAAAAACTTTTGTTAAAAAATGCTAATCATACATTTAGAGTATATGGAAATTGTATGACTAGCAATTTTTTGATGGCGACATCAAAAAATTTTCCAAGTAACTTTGAAATTGCCCCAAAAAATTTTTTTCAACTTTAAATCGAGTTTGGTACTCAAATAAACCTTCTTTCAAAAAAAATTTTGCATGTAAAACTTAACTTTTTGTGTGTATAACGTAGTCCTGGGTACACTAAAAATGATTTTTTCCCTCTTCGATCATTAACTTTTTTCAAAAAACGTTAACAACACCTATTTTTTTTATTTGACATGTTTATGTAATGTCCTTGTACATTGTAATGTACCTTGAGCAATGTCTAATAATTTAAAAATTCAAACCATGACTGTTGAACGTTTTTGCAAAAATTTAACAGTTTGACATTTTTGTTATATCATTTGTGTAAGACAGCATTGCGACATTTCAGGCCGTTTCGAAGGCATTTTAAATGCGAAACGGCCAAACCTTTGGTTACTCTACTTTCAGTAACCAAGGTTTCCGTCACTTGTGTTCGATTACGAACACAGCCAAAAAATTATGAGAATTTAAAAGGTAGAAAATCAATATTTTTGGTTCATGGAAATATAATAGTAATACAAATTCAATATATGCAAATTTACCAATCATAGAATTTTCATGCAATTTTCTCCACTAATGGAATTGCATGAAAAATGTGTGAGCAGCTTTTTTCTATATATGGAAACTGTATGACTAGCATTTTTGGTCAACCCGGGAAATAGTAATTTGAACTTCAAAAACAAATTTTAAAAAGTCCAAAATTTATTAAATACAATGACCGCATAAGGTCCAATGGCTGACTTATGCCGCAGAAAGGAGGGTACACTTGGCTGTCCGCATATGCCCAGCCCTGTTTAAGTCACCCTCCCTCTGGGAGATTGTTGCCTGAACGGTGAAAGGTGTGAACTCTTTTAAAAGTCAGGCCCGGGCACGGGAACGGGCACGGGTCCAGCCTGGTCTGGCTGCCGATCCTAAAAAGAACCCGCACTGACAAAAATGGTTTCGGATCGAATTAAATTGATTTTAAAACGATTTCAAATCGACCCAAATCGATTAACAATGTACATTTTACGAACTTAAAGGGATTTTAAATCGATTTAAATCGATTTTTTTGAATTTTTTAAATCGATTTAAGTGTCTAAAAAATCGATTTAAATCGATTTGGATGGATTTTCCCACTCACTAAAATCCATCCGAAACTCACTTCAATCCATTTTAAATCGATTTAATTCGATCTTTTTGAAAATTTTAAATCGATTGAAGTGTCTAAAAAATCGATTTGAATCGATTTGGATGGATTTTAAGACCCACAAAAATCAATTTTTTTTTGCTAACAAGGTGAAAAAAACACCCTTTAAAAATTGTTGGATTTTTCAAATCTCGATTTTTAAATATAAACACTCGTGCCATATGTTATAAAATTCAATAAAATTATCCAAATAAATCAGATTTAAGCTCGAAAATAGGCAATGTAATTATAGTAAATTATTGTAAATCCTATGTAACAAACAAGAAAAGGGTCAGAAAAAGTTAAAATTTGATCTCATTAATTTGCAATTAAATCACTGAAAATTTTGAAGATAAATCAGATTTCGGGCAAAATTTCGGATAAAACGTATCAAGAAAAAGATCATTGCAGATCAGTTTTTGAACTCAAAATATGCAAGAAAATTATAGAATTTTATCGATATTTTGGTCTTTTTGTTGGTTCTTTTTTATGCTACAATAAGCTATGGATGTAAATTGAAAAATGATAGGCAATAAAAAAATGCAATAAAAATTCGAAGCTGATAAATCTCGAAAAAAAATATCGATTTAAAACGATTTTAATCCGTTTTAATCCCCTTAAAAATAAAAACAAATTCAGACTGAAAAAAATGCATTTAAATTGATTTAAAATCGATTTCGATCAACTTTTTTAGCTGGGATTTAAGATCAATTTAAATTGATTTTAAATCAATCCAAATCAATCTTCATCTTTTTTATTTAATCGTATTTTTTTTCATACTAAAATTGGTCTAAATTTAATCAACGTTCTTTTTTCATACTAAAATCGATCCTAATCCATTTTTGTCAGTGCAGGAAGCCCTGGCCCGGCTGCCGATCCTAAAAATGAGGTCCGTGCCCGATCCCGGGCCCGGTTCCAACTATGACTTTAGTTCAACTATAAGGTTTTCCCGACAAAATGTGTTTTTAGTCGAACTCCGACACCTGGCCAATGAGATGTCACACGCCATGAGAAGAGCATCAAAGTATTCAGTAACAGCGTCAAAGTTGTTCTGGTACGATGGAATCTTGTTTTGTTTTAGAGTCTGTGGCTTCGCGAGTGATTGGTGGGAGCAGAAACGGGAGCAGTGGAGGGGGAAGCGGTAGCTCAGATTATGATATTCTGAAGCAGCAGTTGAAGCTGGCTTTGAGTGAAATAAGTCGCCAGAAGCTGCGCAACATCCAAATTCATATGCGCAGAATTGCTAACGTGGATTCGAGAGTGAAGTCGAGCGATCTGTGGGATTTATTCTTGGAGCATAATTTGTCAATCAGCAAGAAGACCTTCCAATTACTTCTAGACCACTTCTCCGATCCTTTCGGCATAGAGTACGAGTCTATTCTCAAACTCATGCGAAGCACACATGCTAAAACAGGTAAATTTTTTGCTAAAAAACGATTTGTGCCACCAAGAAAACCTCGTATTCTTTCTGTGTATCCTTTCTGACCCGGGTCGAGGTTGTACTTTTATGATCAGACGGTCGCGACTAATTTTTTCTTTCCAGACTGTTGCGACCAAAAATTAGAAATTTTCAAACCACAACGACCCAAAGTTGGTTTTTCCAGACTTTGCGGACCGCGACAAAATATTCGCGACCGGCGCGACCGAAAGAAAGTCAAACGCGACCGACGCAACTAAAGTAATACTTAACGCGACCGGCGCAACCGAAGAAAAGTTGGTCGCAGCGGTCGAAAAATTAGTCGCGGGGCCAAAAAATTAGTCACGACGTTCAAAAATCTAGTCCCCGCGGCCAAAAATTAGTCGCAACGGTCAAAAAAATTAGTCACGGTGATCGAAAAGTTGGTCGCGGTTGTCGAAAATTTACATCCCGCGGTCAAAAAATTAGTCGCAGCGGTCGAAACTTTAGTTGCGACGGTCGAAAAGTTAGTCGCGGCGGTCAAAAATTAGTCGGGGTGGTCAAAAATTAGTCGGGTTGGTCGATAAATTAGTCGCGGCGGTCACAAATTAGTCGGGGTGGTCAAAAATTAGTCGGGGTGGTCGATAACTTAGTCGCGGCGTTCAAAAAATTAGACGCGGTTGTCGAATACTTAGACGCCGCGGTCGAAAAATTAGTCCCGGCGGTCAAAAAATTAATCGCGGCGACCGAAAAATTAGTCGCGGTGGTCAAAAAAATAGTCCCCGCGGTCGAAAAACTAGTCGCAGTGGTCTAAAAACTAATCGGGCTTGTCGAAAAATTAGTTGCGGTGGTCGATGAACTAGTCGCCGCGATCGAAAAGCTAGTCGCATTGGTCAAAAATATAGTTCCAGCGGTCGAAAAGCTGGTCGCGGCGCATGATCGGAAATAGTCACTTCGCTCGAAAACTTAGTTGTAGCTCTAAAATAACACTTGCTATTTGTCATTTCTTGTTTCTGTCTATTTGATTACTGTTTTTAAAGTTTTGGCAATTAATTTTTCGACAAGCCCTCACTAATTTTCCTATCATGCCGCGACTAATTTTTGAGTTGGGATGAAGTTCTAACTCATAGAGTAATTTCAGTTATAGTACACCGTCTGCTCGTCACGCTATCTTATTTTCGGCCGGATAGATTCGTGCAACTTCTTAGTCTAATACCGATCTTAATCTTACTCTTATATCTGTTAGTCTCAATAGATCTAGAGTATACTGGTTTGTTACGAGTCGGTCTCTTGGAGAAAGCAACTAAGTTGTGAGTTAAATTCAAAATGCTCTGGTGCTGAAATTACAAGTAATTTCAGCACTTACAAATAAGTGGGTTGTTAGTTTGATGGAGTGTGATTGGTTAGTCTTTAATATTTTAAAGGGATAAAATATCTAATTTATAACCAATAAAAATATAAAGTTTGGATCTGGTTCCACCCATCCGTGGTTTACAGAGTTTTTGTTCTTTTGACTTCTTTCTGTAATGGAGGATGTATGATGATTGTTCGTATTTCGCGAGCACAACTTCTATTCCGTTCTTGGAGGTGAAAGCTTCAGGAAGCTGGAATCACAGAGGTTGTTTCGTCCTTCAACGATGACTGAGACCGTCAACAAAATCAATCTGATTTCCAAATGGTTTGTTATGATCGCCTGTTTTTGACCGATGTGGAGAGTGGTGTTTCGATCTTGTTTGGGAATGGTGTGAAGCTCGAGTTTGGAGAGAATGCCTTGAAACTCGGATCTGTACGTATACTTGAACATCGAGTTGGTCATTGGTCTGTTTCAATGAAGTCCTTTGCTTGGGAGTCAAGTCATACTTCAAATCCTTTGAGTTGTGGTTGTGAGCGGCATATCGGTTGTGTTCAGCCATTCTGTGGATTGATTGTGATGAGGTCTTCTGTGTTTCATGATGCTCGTCTTCGTGATTGTCTATGGTCTATATTACTGCATTGTATAACTTACATAAAAAAATGTTTAGTTAGTTCTTCTTTTGGTTATAATTTTTTATTAGTTTTTATCGCAAGAGCTTTTATTTTAGTTCAGTTATTTTAAAAGTGTTACTCAAAATTAAGGAGAGCGTCACAAAGCGTATGTTGTACGCGGTGGGTTAGGTCGGCTATTAAGCATGCTAAAGACGTCCTCTTCTGGTGGGTTAGGCCAGGAGTGAGGGCATGATTGCATGCTGGTTTTTTAAGGGGTCCTGTTTTGTGTTCACCTTTTATGTCATGTTTCTTACTGGTTTTATTCCTTTTGTTCTTTTGGTTGTGTCCTTTTCTTAAAAATCAAATTGTTTGGTTGTGTTTGTCTTTCGACGATTTGGTGTTTTATACTTTCTTTTTCAGACTTATTAAAAGTCTTCAAAAGAATAAACTATCGGGTTCTTTAAGCTGGTTTAATCCGGTTTGGGTACCGTGGGTTTTCTTTTCTTAGTCATGCTGTTAGTTTGTGGTTTATGGTGATTAGTAAGCTGCATTGGTTAGTTGGGATTATTATATAATTCTTTTCCAACCGGGTTAAAAGAAAGTTGGAAACTTGTTATTACTAGTTTGAGTTGTTATTAGTGAAAGTTAAAACTTGAAATCATTGTTTTAAACAAATTGTCGTGGGCGAGCTGTGCGAGTGTGGATAGAATTTGTGTGCAGCGAATTTGGTATTCAAAAGGTTAGTAGTGCTTGCATTTGTTTAGATTAACAAATGAAAAATTTAAATTTACTGCTTTGTGAGGATTGAAATTTTTAAATTGATTTCATTATTTTTAGATTTACTACATTGGGGAAAAGAGTTTATAGATGAGTTTACTACTGTGGGGAAGAAATTTCACCGCATCATTTATTGTGGTTTGTTATTAAAAGTTTATAATTTTTAAAAGAGTTTGTAGTTTTATTTTTGTTTTCGGTTTGTAGATGATGGTGATCTAAAAACTAAAGAAAAACATTCAATAAAAACTGGTTATTTTGTTTTGAGTTTATTAGTGTTAAGTTATTTAATTCATACTTACCTAGTCATCGGGGAAGAAGCCATGAGGGGAGATAACGTGTATATATGCGGATGATATTTGCTAATATGCGGATGATATTTTTAGTTTCAAGCAGTGGTCAATGCAATTGAAGTGATTTTGTTGTCTTTAGTTCTCCAGTGCCAATGGAAAATTCGTGATTGGTGTGCTGGATAAGGTTAAAAAGCTTGTTGTTATATTTAGTATTGTGAATGAATTCTGATTTTGTGATTTCTACAGGTTGAATATATTCAAGCGGGACAATGAAGGGTCGGGACAATTCTTCTACATTGAAGGTCTTGGTGAGTGGACAAAATATATACATTTGGGTAATTGGGTCGTAGTTTCGGAGGATGCCTTGAAAATTAGTAATTTTAATGCAGTATATGAATTTTAGGAAAAATGATGATATGTACTTAGAGTTCATAAAATGAAATCGATGGTGGGGTTGTCGTGATGGTGTGTGTAAGTTAAAGTGATTTTGAATGAATCTATAGTAAATGTAAGTATGCGTTTGTTTAGTTCTCAACTTGATGTCGTATGAACAGTGCAGATCTCGTTCTTTTGAAGTGAGGAAGTGGAAAGTTAGTGAAAAAATTTCAAATTTGTCGTAAAATGATTCATAAGCTTGGATGTCGATTATTGCTTCGGAAATGATGTGATCGAGTTTTTTATCCATTGAGCGTAGTGTAAAGATGTAGGGTGTTCGGATGGAAAATTTTTCGGTTAGTTGCGGGTTAGCGAACTTGTCGTCGTCGAGTAAATGATCTTGCTTAGGTCTGATGATATTGTGATCATAGTATTCGATGGAATACTCGTTAGCTCGGGGTGTGGTGAAAATTTTTAATAGCTTTTTATATCTTGTATGTGTAAATTGTTGAGTTGTTAGTGCTGTGGTTAGTCTAACAGTCATTTTTACTTTTTTCTACTTCTTGAGGTGTGTTAATGAATGGTATACAAAGTGGGTTTGAGAAGTGATAAAATGATGTCCATTGGAGTGTGGGGATTAGTACATGCTCATCGACATAGTGGGGTTGTTTAGTGTGAGGGTCGGAGTGACTAATTGTATACTGAGGAAAGAGGGGTAACGAAAATTGGAGAAATTCGAGAGTATTAGTATGATCAGGGTGGTTTACATAATCGCAGGCTGTTCCGGGTTTGGAGGGAAACGGGTGGTTAGGAAATTTTCTTTTGATTGTTCTATATGCAAGGTTAGTAGTGGTTGATGATTGGGTTGATGTTGAGGATTGAGCTAAAGAAGGGGTATACTCTGAACAGGGTGTAGGAGTAGGTGGGTTTGATGATGTTATGGTTGACGATAATTGATGAATGGCTAGGATGTGAAGGTGTTGTACTTGTTGTTGTAGTGTTATTAGATTATTTAGTTCTTATGAGATTTGCGTGGTATCTGGGGAATTGTTGTTGGACCGTTCATTGGTAAAGGGGGAGTATGTCGGGGATACTTGGGAAACAACAGAGATAGTAGAGTGGGAGTCAGTTTGGGATTGGGAGTGGATGGGTTGAAAGGGGAGTTGAGAAATTGTTGATGTTGGTTTCTGAGTTTGCGAATTTGTCAGGAGTTTCTATATCTGAATTATTAAATTGAGAAATTGTATGAAAACCTGTGATAACTGAGTTAGCGTCGTAATCCATGCCGGATGATGTGTTAATATGGGGTGATTCAGGTGGCGGGAAAGCAAAGGGTGGGATGATGGGAATTGGGTTTTGGAGGTTGGCTGGATGGGAAATTGAACGGTTAAGGGATCCAATTTGTCGGCTCATCGTGGGCTGAAAAAATGATTGTTTTGAGATTGAAAACTTGTGGTATGTGGTTGTTCGATTGTTTGTTCTTATGTATCATCATTTTGAGATTGTTGTGTTACTATGTGGTGAATTGGACTTTGTATATGATTTGGTTTTTTGTTTGCAATTTTTACGAGTGCTAAATTTCTAAAATTTCGTGGTACTAGTGATAATGGG